AATATCATTTTAAAGTCGTCTACTTTAAAATGCATAATGTATGTCTGAATTGTCAATATAAATAAGTCAGATAAAATTAAATTATTAGAAGAATTTTTGTACAAAATGATGTAACAAAAAACAAAATTTGTTTAATTTACTGTTTGTATTTTGAGAACGATTTCCGAAGTGGAAATTGAAACGTCAATAAACGTATTTTTATCTTTAATCGGAACTTCAAATTGAAACACGTAGGAAAAATTTACATTACCTCGGCTTCTATTGTAGCCAGAAGCCTCTGTTCTTTTTTTAAATCTGGGGTAGCTCGTCAAAATATGAATAACTACATAGTTTTCACTGGCCAGGAAATATGGGAAACCTTGGAAAAATAATTGAGTCCCGATGTCCCTGGACATCGGTTACTCGAATTTCATAACATTCAAATACTCATCATCATCATCATCATCATTAGCCATTTTGCGTCCATTGCTGAACATAGGCCTCCCGTAAATAATTCCATTGCATCCGATCTTGAGCAACTTGAATCCAGTTAGACTGGATGCGGTTTAAATCGTCCGACCACCTTGTTGGAGGACGTCCTCGACTACGATAAGCATCGTGTCTAGGCCTCCCACTCTAAAATTTTCTTTGTCCATCTTCCATCTCTGACCCTAGCAACATGTCCTGCCCAGTTCCATTTCAGGGTTGTAATTCTTTCAACTGCGTCCGTCACACCAGTTTTTCTCCTTACTATCTGACCCTTACTATTCAAATACTATCTGCTTGAATTTGCCGACGGACGAAATATCGATGGACCCGACTTTACATGAGATAATTTAAAATTAAAAATATTTAAGTAGATAAAAAAGCCGTTAGATTTCCGGCAAGATTTATCACGGATATCTGTCGAAGAAATAAAAAATTACATTGGTAGTAGCATACATGATGCAAACTTTAGACTGTCGTGAACATTGTTTTCATTGATAAGATAAAATTTATTAATTAAAATGTATTATTTATGTTTAATCCATTTAAAAATCATAAAAACTTAAAATGTAAAATGAAAAAGATATTTAAATTTAAAACATTCATAGAAAATCGCAAAAATCTTAGCTAAACGATTGTAAAAATTGTAGATTAAAGCTCTAATTAGAACTTGATTACGTAGGAAAATTTGACAAAGAATAATTATTAATACTCTAATAGTCAGAAAAACAAATATTACTTACTTTGAGACTTACTATATGTCGTACTTTTAACGAGTTGTCACTCACTACCTCACACCTCACTAGTCACTTCACCAATATGATCATTGGATTCATTGGTCATGATTCGCCAAAACACAGCATAGAGCATAGATAGACACAAGTAGGTTTAATAATTGCTTGCTTGGTCAAGGTTAACTAACGTCATCCACTATTATAATTTATATAGATATTTTATGTTGTTTACATTATTGATGTAATCGTACACATTAAGCTCCTTTCACATAGACTACATTATAAAAGTTGTGAGATAATTATTATCGCATCAAAAATCGAAAGTATATATAAAAGCTACTACGTATGATTACTAAATGATTAATTTATCATTGTATTTATACGAGAATGACAAACAATTTTTAAATTTGGCTATATAGTATTCTCTCTTTATACCGATTTCCTATATAACGATAATTCCTCTATAACGATGAAAATAGTAAACGTTGGTTGGTTCGTCATAAGGACAATGTAATAATTCTTTCTCTGTATACCGATATCGTTCTCTCTTTATAGCGATGATTTTCAGCGTTCAATAGTCGATGAAAAATGTGTTATTTTTTGTGTCCTAGCGGTTTGTTTTGTTTTGCGAGTTGTGTCTTAGTGTATCAACAGTCATAATATGTTTTCGAAAAAGCCTAACGTGCTGTCGGTGGAGGAAAAGTTATCGATAGCTCGAGCAATAGAAAAAGCTAAAAAGCAATTTGATGTCGTTCGCCGTACGGGGCTATCTCAGTCAATTGTAGCTCCGATATGAAAGGACAGAAAAAAGTGGCTTGAAGCGGAGATGGAGGGCGGCAGCAGGAAGAAGTTGTGGAAACCTCAGCAGCAGCGTATGAACTATATTCCACTTTCTGGGCTTGTGGTCAGGACAAAAGTTGAGTTCTTTACAACTGAGCCTGGAATTGAGAATTTCAAGGCATCTAAGGGTTGGCTGAGCAAGTGTATCTTCGTCACAAGATCTACAACTACGGGCAAATCAGCGGAGAGGCTCGCGATGTTTACAAAAATGTAACGGATGATTGGATAGAAAACAAAACATGTGGCCTGGACTAAAGGCACGATATGAGAGTAAATATTAGTGCGTGGATGACTGCGAAAATTTTTGAAAAAGCGATAATAAAGTGGGATATCAAGCTTAAAGGGAAAAAATTCTTCTGCTTGTAGACAATTGTCCTGCTCATCCTGTACTGTGCGACCTTCAAAACATTAAACTTTGTTTTCTGCCAGCAAACACAACGAGTGTCCTTCAGCCCATGGACCCAAGTGCCATCAAGAGTTTGAAAAGCCATTACAGGAGAAGACTTTTGATGGAATTGGTTGAGAATAATGGCAATCTTAAACAAAACATTCTTGACGCCATCCTAATGATTAGTAAATCTTGGGACGAGGTGACGAGCAATACAATAAAACATTTCTTTAATTACGCAGGATGGCTGTAAGATCAAAGATTGACTGATGATGAAGATGACCTGCCATTAGATGTTTGAGCCAGACAGTTTGAACTTACTACCACCTACAGCGCTAAGCTACAGAGCTAAGAACAGATTTTGAAGAATTTGATGAAAATGTAGCTACAACATCTGGACTTTCTGACGAGGACATCCTTCAAGCTGTTTGTGTAGAAGAAGAATAAAACAGTGACCCGAAAGTGAAAGTAGAGCCAGAACCAGCTTCGAGCCCTCAACAGGAAATTAACGTCACTTTCAAATCTATATAAAGTAGCAGATTTTGCCGAGCCCTAAAACGCAGATTCGTTGCAGAGCACATAGAGAAAATTAAACAGATCGCGGACGAGCGGCATGCCCCATAAAAGTCTCGAACACCACGAAAGCGACTAAAATCCAGGAAATGATTCCTTGGAACCGTGTAGGATGAATCGCCTGACTATATTCCTCTTCCCAAGGTTCAATGGAACGGCCAGTCCCTAGAGTAAAATCCCAAGGAAAATCCAAAGTAAAACTAGAAAAACTATAATTAGGATAAGAACGGGGGGTAGTGTAAAATCAAACATGCTAAAATGGGGAAAAATAGACCAAGATGATGTGAAGTGTGACTGTGGAGAAATACAGAATATGGAACATCTTCTTACATGCAGAAACTGTCCTCATCAATATACCCTCGAAGATTTATGGCTCGCCAACAAATAGGGAACCGAGCTAGACCGATATTTGGCTGAATTTTATGAATGGCATGAATTTCGGACATGATAGAAAAAGCAGGCATTAAATGCGTCAAAAGCACTGCATCGATTCTTCATCCACCAGAAAGACGATATGAGTACTGTGGAAGATTCTATGTGTCCTCAGGACATGGTCAGGTCAGTTCTGTGGAAAGGGAAAAATTAACAAACCAAGGTGACAGACTTTTTTCGTAATGTAGGCTAAATATATTTTATAGTAGCATATTATTTTGTTATTGTACACTACACATTTTTTAATTGTACAGTTATTTTTTTTTATACTGTATTGCTTATATTATTCTTTAACAAATCTATGTGGTGAACAATACAGTGTTAATTCATTTATATTCGTTTTGATACATTTTTTAAATTAAAATAGGTTATTTAGAATTTTAGTCGTTCTCTCTCTGTATAACGATCTCTCCTTATAACGATGAAAATTCCCGGTCCCTTGCATATCGTTATAGAGAGAGAGGACTGTAGTAGCAATTAGCTCGTAGGGGAAAGGGGTGAATAGTGGCCGCCTAATCATTTTGGTTTATTTACACTGCTACATAGCTTTAAAAATTATACTGTTAAGGTAAATAAAATTTCAAACCTTAGTACTTCAAACTCTATTTACGAAAAATTTTTAAACAGAACAAAAAATAATAAAACGGTTTTTCACACTTCGGCTGTTGGCCATATTTATTCGCTGCCGAAGGGTAAGTGGCCACTGTCACTATTAACCCCATTTAAAAAATAATTAAATGCAGAAATCGCAAATGTAAATTTTGCCTTCGAAACTGGTACAGTCTTTGTGTGCCCATTGGCCGCAAATGCTGCATTGAATATTTCTTCTGTGATCTTCTGTGTTCTTAAACAACTTCTTTTTGGAACTATTCGCGGAAAAACTGAAGTCTTCTATGCCTATTTTTCGTTAGATTCCTTTGCTGGCTTTATTTCTCATTTACTCTTCCTTCCTTCGCTGTTTTTCTTCTAGAAGTGACTTCATTGGTGTTGATGTCATTATTTCGGAATATTGCTTCCTGTTGCTTTTGTAGTTAGATCTTTTATTTTCCAACTGAGTCATCTATTGAGTATCCTGGTAGTGAAATTATGTCAACAGAAGATACTTTAAACGTTTTGTTATGTGTCGCACTTTCTTTATTCTCCTTAACTTCCTTATTATTCTTCTCCTTATATAATCCACTTTTTTTTCTCTTGGTCTAGTATCTTTTTATCTTTTTCTTGTATGTTTATCAATTTTGAGGATTATATGGAAATATTCCTGTATTCTCAAAACCTTCAATGGCTTTAACTGGTGTGGCTACGCGACCGTATGAATTTTTAAATATTTCAGCTATTCCAAATGTCGTGATACGCTCATAAGGATCACTTCGAAGATAATTGCCACATTTAATATTTTACGCTGATTTTAACGATGAGTAAAAAGCTACATCCAGAGGTTGGAGTCGATGCGATGTGTGCGAGGGTATGGTTAACATAATAATTCCTCGTTCTTTAGAGAAATTATATGTCACTAATGTACAGTGGTTACTGTGATTGTCGACGATTAACAAAACTGGATTCTCCTTTGAAGGTTTTACATCACTGTAAAAATGCTGGAGCCATTCGAGAAATATTTGCTCATATTATATCCTATAGTTTTATCCTTTTGTGGGCATAAATAAACAAAGGTGAAATATATGTTCCTATGGCACTTATGCAGCACATAATGGTTATTGTTTGACCTCTTTCTGCGCTTGTAATAAGGCCAACTCTCTTTTGACCCTTTTCAGCAAGTATTTTTCCGAGGTTTTGGACTATTGATATGCCTGTCTCGTCTGCATTATATATATTTTGGATGCCGAAAATTTATATTTATTCAATATTAATTTTAAATTAGGGGAAAATAGGTTAACTTCAGTTATGTTAAAAGCAAATATGCGGTTAATACTTGTCGCTTCCGGTTTTCTTAATCAAATAGTTGGATTTCTTTTAAAGAAGCCGTTAAGCCAGTCTCTTCCAGCAATTTTTTTCTTTGGAAAATGGATGATGTAAATTTTTTCGTTCAGCGTATTTATAGCCACATTTTTTTATGTCTGTGAGAGTTATCCCATAAAAATGTTTTGATAAATTTATGACCTGCTTTGTGAAAACTTCTACTTCTTCTTTGGTAAATACAGAATTAAGACCTGAAGAAGCAGCTGTTGTATCATTTCGCTTTAGGCGTAGTTGAATGGTAGATCTGGGAAATTGCAAAACTTCTTGCAACTTCACGGATACTTCTGCCATTATTTACTGTGTTTATTTCTGCACTGTGTTGCTCATAATTCAATCGTGCTTTGTTACTTTTTCTCTTGTAAACTCGAGTCATCTGAAATATAAGAATTTATAGAGACATTTTTATATAGTCTTAATTTATAAATAAACTTAATGACATACTTCTACATACCTTTAAAAATCTTGCACTAATACATCAACTCCAACAAAATATGACATTTTCAAAAATTCCTTCTTTGTCGGCAAAAGATCGTCATTGTTTTAGGTACAGTTTGAACGAAACACTGTCAGATGGCGCAACAGGTATTAAACGCGAAATAATATTAGGCCGTAAATGTATATATTTTATGGCTACCATCACCCCAGCGGCCTCCATTACCCCCCCCCTTTCCCTTAAGTAGTTTTCCGTTTTCCCTCGCGCCTTTCTATAAATATAAAAATCATGTCTCAAAGCGTTTTTTTTTAATCTAATAATTAATTAATTAATTAATTAATAATAATACAATCTTATTAATCTATATCATTATGATGATAAAATCCAAGTTATTTTGTAGTTTTCTTGCTTCTTATTCCTTCAATTGGCGTTTCTCGGTAAATCCACCAGCAGACTACAGACAATCGATCAACAGTATTGCTGCTATTCTTTTTTCATTGTAACCCCTTCCAGTGTACAATATATCCTGGTGAAACCTTTCACCATGATCATCTCATATGACACCCAGATTTTCAGGAAAAAAATGCATATCTAAAAAAAGAATCTCAAGTGACATGTTGCATCCTAGATCTTTATCACAATCTTCACAAAAAAGTTCTTGAATGCCAGGTAGTTGTCAGGTTTCGTATTGCTAAGAAAATAATGACACACTTCTATTAGTGCTGCACAAGCTCTCGTATTTGCGAACTAAAAAAAATTCCTTGTTTCAATTCTATTATTGCAGTTGTTTGACAGTAAAATTGAGTTCTCCATTCAACAATATATAGTAGTTTCAACCATGTTCTACCATCCATCAATTAATAGAGTACCGGCATGTAAGTAATGTTTATTTTATTTATTTATTTGCTCATTTATTAATTTATTACAATCGAAGAGACTATTTTATAACAATTTGTGGGCCTTACCTTGTCTGTTTAAACTTTAAAAACTTTTATACCTTTTATTCAACTTACTCATTTAAATAAAACCACAGACATGTAATATTGGCATAATTATTGTAATTTACAACATCTACTTTGTTTGTCGTTATTAGACAACACCCTAATATGGGTTTTTATTATTACAGCATTTGTTTAACTTTGTATCGAGACCTGCGAGGATGCTTTGCATATTGTAGAAAGCGAAACCGGTCGTCTGATAGTTAAATTAAATTGATTGTGAGTAAGTCTTATTTATTATTTCTTTACCTATATGAAAATTCAACTTTCTTCTATTAACCTGACATTACCCAGAAGGAATAAAAACAATATCATGACTGCTAAATGAACTTAGTTTTATCATTTGCTTACTAACTTAATACTGGCTCAGTAAGGCTTACTGTATATTTTTTTCTTTGTATAATTATTGATAAATACTACATATATAACCAGTTTTCACTATCGAAACATGGAAGCGCCATATTCACCGTCTTTCCCTTGTTGAAGAAAGAAAGCAAGATTGCCCGACCAAAATAATGCTGTTTAGATAAAAGCTATTAAGTTGGAAATCTGACAAAGGATAGAGCGATACGAAGGATGATTGAGCAAAGAAAAAGAATAGAAAAGTATATACTGATATATACATTTTATTTAAATTTATATGTCTTTCACACTTTTTATTTTAAATGAAGTTCCATTGTCTAGCAGCATTTGCATTAGGGAGGTTTTTCTAAAAGCTGCTCCTGGACTGTATACACCGCCACTGAAACAAAAACTCCGTCAAACAAGTCAAAGTAGTTGCAAAAACTATTTTGTTTGACTATTTGTTGTATTTTTTGCGAATTATATATTGAGGATAAGACTGAGTAGTAAACAACATGGTATATGCCGTAATGCCCTCTCGCCTCTGCTCTCTCATGTCAGAATTTGCGTTTCTATTTGCCGTTTGTATAAACTTTTATTTTAATATTCTTGTAATAATTAAGTTAAATATTTCATTTTTTTAACTATATTCTATTTCCTTTATATATGCAATGTTGCTTCTTCATTGAAGAGTTATTGCCCCTATGGAAGATTGTCACTCTATATCTTGCAAGGTCAACCAATACTTCTTCTACCACTTGGTAATTTTTCCCTTGCTAGAACTCTCATCTGGGTTGGGGATATTTTTTTCTTATTGTCCAGATTACTTGCCGTGGTGTTCTTCATATTATCATCTCGATATTTTATCTAGTCTTGGAAGCGGCTGTGGTAACCACAGAGCTACTCGTAAGTGCTTCAGAGGCCTATAGAGTAGTGTACCTACTATATAGATATATTCGGATTTCAAATTTCTAAAAAAATTAAGCAAATTATTGCTTTTTGTTTTTTTTTATTTTATTTTATTATAAGAGGTGATTTGTAATTATAAGCATTTATGCAGATAAGAATTTTGTAAACAAAAAAATTGAATAAAATGTTAACATGTCTTTGTATTGTGAGGTGTACCACGAACGGTAAGAAAATGTATAAAGCCATAGGATTAGTAAATTTGTTTAGGCAAATATTTACTTATCTTTTATTATTTGAATTTGAACCAATCTGAGAGATGTTGATTGATGAGATTTTGGTAGCAGTGGTTTTTTTTGTGACAACATTCAAATTTAATTGAGAAAAAACGACTGGATGAGAGGGATATTTGTCCGTTCTGATTGGTTTAGAAAATATAGAGAGTGGATGAGTCCTATCACGAAAAGAAATAACTATTGGGCTTTGAAGACTTGGCGACTACACAACAGTTTTTCTGATACTACGGTGCTAATTAGCACAGTTTCCAAAAGTAAATTTTGTGAAAAGTTGTGTTTTATGTTTATAAAAATAGTTTCAACTTTGGTAGCAGGTAAAAGAAGCTGAAGAAATAGATGACATCATCATCATATAACGAAGGTCCTACGGCGATTGCCGCTCTTCCGCATTTCAGCCTCCATCTTTTCCTATCTCTCCAATCTCCCTCTTCTAAGCCTCTAGATTGCATTGTTTTTGTAATTTCTCTTCTCCAGGAATTTGGTGGTCTTCCCCTTTTCCTTATTTCTGGCGGAACATACATTAAGGCTTTCTTTGGCCACCGCTCCTCCTTCATTCTCATCACGTGACCATACCATTGTAATTGCCTTCCTTGTATTCTATCTGAAAGAGTATCTCTAATTCCTGTATGGTTTCGTATTTCCTCATTTCTGATTCTTTCCATTTTCGATACTCGACATGATCTTCTAAGATAATCCATTTCCACAACGTCTACTTTATCTCGTTCATTCTTTGTCATCGTCCAACATTCGGCACCATATCTTTATTTTATTAGACTACAGTAATGAATTCAGTATTCGGCTGCATTTTTCCCTTGGAATATTCGGTTTTGTATATTTATCTTAACTCTGCCATCTGCTGATATGATGCTTTCTAGATATTTATACTGGTTGCAACCTTTTATGACTGCGTTGTCAAGCCTCAGATCTGTGGTATTTCCTCCAATTTTTAAATATTCTGTTTTGCTTATGTTTACAGTAAACCCCCATTTGGCATATACCTCAAATAATTTTCGATTCATATAATTTATATCTTCCTCATCGGTTGCAACCACCACCTGATCATCCGCAAACAACAATGTATACATTTCTTGTCCCACTTCGATGCCCATAAATCTACATTTATTTCTCGAATTCCTCAATGCTTCTTGAACGTATATTTTAAAGAGTGTCGGTGACAACAAACAACAAAAGCATCCTTGCTTTAGGCCTTTAGTGACTTTAAATTCATTTGAAGCTCTGGTTCCAAATTTTACACAACTAACTGCATTTTCGTACAATTTATATATCGCTCGGATATACGTCGAATCCAATCCGGACCTTTCGAGGACCTCAAACATTTTCTTTAACGGGACACTATCATATGCTTTCTCAAGGTCTATAAATACCAAATGGGTATCTTTACTTCTTTCGACACGCTTTTCAATTATTTGTCGTAGGATAAATATATTATCAAGGCAAGATCTCCCGGTACGAAAGTTGCTTTGTTCTTCAATATCTTTTATCTGTCTTTCAACCTTCTTCTTTAATATTCTGCCGTACAACCGGCCCACAGAGCTCGTCACATTAATACCTCTATAATTGGAACAGTCTCTTTTATTGCCTCTCTTGTATATGGAGCTTATATAAGATTGATTCCAATCTTTAGGAATTTCCTGGTCTCCACATATACATTTATTAAAAAGGTCTACTATTAATTCTAAAAGTGCAGTTAGCCCATATTTAACCAGCTCTATGGGAATGTCTCCAGGCCCTGCGGCTTTTCTGTTTTTAACCTCTTTTAAGGTTTCCGTCAATTCAGATATAATGTTATTATAGGCGATTTCCTGTCTTTCGTCGCTGTTATCTATTAATTCAGTTTCGTATAATATTCTTCCCATTCATTTAACTTTATAAGAGGAATGTTGTCTTCATTTTTCTCATTTTTCCTAAACTGCTTTAATGTTTTCCAAGCTTGTGCCACTTTTGTTCCACCCATAAATATGTCCAGTTCATCACACTTAGCCTCCCAGTTTACATTTTTTGCCTTATCCACTTCTTTTTTAACTTCTCTATTCCATTTGGCGTATATTTTTTTGTCTTGAGGATCTTTGGATTGAAGCCATATATGATATGCTTGTTTTTTCTTGAGAATATATGACATACTGTAAGTAAAAAACAGTTGTGTAGTTTATGTTTGACCAAGTCGATTAGTTGAATGTCCTTGTATCTGCATAGAAGGAGTTGTTCGTCGAGTTAGGAGTTTGAGTGAGGAGTTGGTCAAAGATTAATGTAGTTGTAGAATTGTTTTATCGAAAACGATAGGCAGAGGAGAGAGCAGGCGTATTTGGAGAAACTAAGAAGTGGGAGCGATGTGGGAATGATATCTTTGATACCTTAACATAATGATCCTATTTCGCAAATAATATCTAAGAAAAATTAGAATAAAAAAATTGTATTTGCATACCTTTGTGGCAATTTGTCTTTTTCCTTTAAAATAACGATGCCAGCTCCAATTAAACCGATAACAGTAAAAGTATAGCAATTTTGAAATTGTAGTTGAGCTAAAATGCTTTTGTTAGGTGGCATAGTGTACTGTTGGTCTACATTTGCCAACTTTTCCCTCCATCCTTCTCCATAAAATGTTAAGCGATAGTGGTTTCCTTCTTTGAATTCTTCAGAGGGATGCTCTTCTTTACTGACGTACCCACAAGAAAAGATGTGGGGATACTGAAAAAGGATTAAACGTGGTATATTTAAATAATACTCGATAAAATAACAATTTTAACATTGATTTTGAATTTGTAAACAGTGGTCAAGAAATATTTATAATAATAATTATTATTAAATAAATAAATAAATAAATAATTAAATTACATAACGTATGCTCTAGGCTTAAAATATATTGAGGGATCACATGACAAATAACGAAGTTTTGCTGAAAAGAATGTAAAAAACAGAAAACTCTTTTTTACATTAATTAAATATTGGATAATTGGATGATTGGATGACGAGTGATGGAAGACAAAGATATTGAGACAGTTGACTCCTATAAATACTTGGGCCATTAGATCAGAATAAGTCGAGACAACCAAACAATCGAGCTGAAAAGAAGAATAAACCTCGCTTGGGCTGCATTTGGAAAGATGAGGGATATTTTTAGGTCTAAGATTCCAATGTGCCTCAAAAGAAAAGTATTTAATCAGTGTATTTTGCCAGTGATAACCTACGGTGCAGAAACCCTAACACTCACAAGAACAACAGTAAGTTAACTACAAGTTGCGGAAGGAGCAATGGAGAGAATAATGTTATTAATTTCTGCATATGATAGAATACCCAATGCTACTATACGCAAAAGATCAGGAGTAGCATACGTTATTGAAAGTATAACAACACTAAAGTGGAACTGGGGAGGTCATGTAGCAAGATCAGTTGATGACCGGTGGACAAAAAGAATTTTGGAATGGGGACCCCGAATACAAGCTTACAGAAATAGTGGTGGACCCCCAACGAGATGCACAGACGACATAAAAAGAGTGACTACAAATTGGATTCAGATGGCGCAAAATCGGAACTAAGTGGAACAGCATGCAAGAGGCTTATGTTCAGCAGTGGACGTAAGAGGCTAGTTGATGATAATGATGAAATATTGGATGAGGGTGGAAATGTTCTAAACACAGTACCAATTGCTTGGTTTTGTTGGATTCGGGGCAGAGATGGGAGGAGATGATTCAGTATATAGGTGAAAGAGATATCTTCAATGTTGACGAGACGGGTCTTTTTTAAATTCACTCCTGCCAAAACACTGGCATTTAAAAAATAAAAAATGTCACAGGGGAAAACTAAGCAAAGAGTCACTCTCCTAATTGGTGGAAAAAATTGAAAAGTTATTTTTTTTCTGCCAACATGACTTCAGTTCTCCAGCCTATGGACCAGGGATCAAAAAAATCTTAAACATTTTAAGAGACGTTTTTTGGTTGAAAACATATTGATGGAACATTGCAACTCCCTTAAAAAAAGTTGGACATTCTTCAAGCCTTTCGAATGTGTAAGAAAGCTTAGGAGAAAGAAACACCCGAAACGATTAAACATTGTTTAAAAACGCTAGTTTCGTAAAAAATGAGAAGAACATAGAAAACGCTAATGAGCCTTTAAGGATGTTATTTCTGATCCTGCCGTCTCTTATAAATATTTTGCCAACGTTGATAAAGATGTTGCAGTGCAGCCGAAGTAACGAATTATATTACACAACTTAGACGGTACTTTCAAAATAAAAATGACTTAAGTAACTTTATTTTTAGTTCATCTTGGAATACCGTAAAATCTTTTGTCATTGCCGAGAAGCTAAATTCTAAAAAGCAGCTAAAAATTTAGGATTTCTGTGTGTCATTTTCTAGGCTCCTGTATAGTATACTGTCTGAAAATATGTGCGAGTTTTTTGATATGATCCAATTTTTACATAACTAGGAGAACAATGAAGTAAAAATTCCTGTAATTGTATAACATTGATCCACCACCGTCTGGATTTATGACTCAAATGTGCTTGCCATCGATAGCTCCGATTCAATTTGGTAAGTTTGTCTTTTGTAGAAACCCGTTAGTAATTTTATACACATATATCAGAGGTTTCAGGAAAACTGATCCAACAAAGATCGAAAACAGCCAGAGATGCATACTTTAGAATAAAGAACGCTAGGAAAAAAACACCTTTTGGAAGTGCTGCACCGAAGTTCAAAAAGTATTTCTTTTATGATGAACTAAGCTTCCTATCTCCGTCAGATGAGAATTATGTTGTTCAATCACTGAAGGAAACCATACTATCATCCTCGGTAACTATAGATAATACGGTATCACCTGATAATAATACAGTATCACCTGATAAGACCAAAACCATCATGCTGTTGATTTTGGATTATCACAAAGACCTTGGATGCAAAACAATAAAAGAAGGCTGCAACAAAAAAAAAGAAAATTCGCTTTTTGAAAGAGAGTTATTAAATTTACTAAGTAATCAAACACCACATTTGACAAGACGGCCTGACTTTTTTTCTTCTTCACGTCCAATGTCAAAATTGTATTCTAATCTTACTGTAGATTTAATTTATATAAAAAATACAACTTTTGAAAAGAGAGCAAGAAGGCATTTTTAATTGGAAAATTTATGAACAAGATGATAATGATCGTCTGCATATTTACATATACCATGCATATTTTTTATATTTTTTTGAATATTTGAGCTCATTTTCTGTAAATATATGCTCCCTTTTCTGTTGCATATATTCCGATATCTAGTTATAACTAATATTATCTTTTGAAGTATGTTTGGGAATGGCAAGTACATGCTATCTAGCACCGTACTATGCTCAGGGACCAATCAGTGTTATATAATACATGGAATCTAATACTGGTTAATAAACTAACTAGAAAAAATATACTTTTTTGCCACTATTAATGTGGCGATATGAAACAATAGTAATCTGAGTGTTAAATAAAATAAGAAAATCGCCAAGTACAGTTATATTTATATACAAATACGGAGACAATGTATAATGAAAGACAGTCAGATAATATCATTCTACCACTGATGTCATTCTGAAGAATCTTCTAGAGAACACCAAATAACTGGGGTCTTGGTAAAATATCTATAAAACCATGTAGAAAATGGTAGTGCTTACTACATTCAGATATGTACAAAAATTTTTGGAAAATACTCCTCCAGCATACGAGATCACCGTAGCGACCGTACCTCAGTGGTTATGGTACTGGCTTACCAAGCCGTAGGGGCCGGTTTCGATCCGTGACAATGACAGTAGAAATTGTTCTGTGTTTAATTTAATTGATCTATCACAATGCTTCAGAAATCCTGTTAAACTGTCGGTCCCAGCTATATAAGTGGTAATTAAGTCATGTGAAGGGAACTTGCGTGACCTGAAAACCCTAACACTAGACCTGAGCCAAAAAGTTATACAAAATTTAGTAAAAGATGTACACTAAGCCAGTTGGTTAAAGCGCAATCGATGTAAAACAGATGGCTTTGAGAGAAAAAATACCAGATCACCAAGACCATGATGACATGAAAATAATCCCTCCAGAACTTAACTGTTTTGATACTGTGATAGAGTAAAAGTGGTGTGGCTTAAATCTGAGTATAAAAATGATATTTTTATTTATAAAAATAGTAAACAAATTTATAATCAGGGTTAAGTTAGTAATCAAAAATATCTGTACTTACTTTTATTAACAAATTTCTAATACAGCGAAATTGAACCATGAAAATAAGCACTAACAATGGAAAACTGAGCAAAAGTAAAATAAAGATACTCGGAATGGACATCATTACTTCACCATGCACGGGTCTTTGAGATTCCTTTTCATATAAATATTTTTGAGTCTCGTACATTATATTTCTAGCATGTCCCTTGGGTATCAACCAACCCTTGGTTATCTGTGAATAGCGTGGAAAAATCCTGAAAGCAAAGATTTAGTATTAGGTTAATAAAATGATATTCCTTACTGATTATGCAGCTAATGCAATACTCATGGCAAAGGATACCTAGTGAAATATGTAGTATACACGATATAGATCCAACAAAAAAATAAATACCCTAAAAAAAATTATGGGAACACTTCTGTATTTAAATATATAGAATATAATATATATATTATATATATATATATATATATATATATATATATATATATAATATATATATATATATATATATATATATAATATATAGACGGTTGCTTTTTGATTTAAATCGAGTCTCTTACCATTCTGCTACACGTATTTCAAGGTCTACCTATCCTCAGGGAGACTTGTGAAAACACTGAACTAGATCGAAAGGTACCGGATATTGGGCGATTATAGTAAAATAATATGAAGTGAGTGTCGATAGCGATTAACGTAAGCCTCATTATTTCTTCATATTTTTTAGTAAAACCGATGTGAAAATAGGACTTTCAAATTCTCAAAAACACATATTTACTCCTAATAAATTTATAGTTCTAAACTCGTCACATTTTTTCTTAGTTTAGAATACTCTTCATCCTACAAGATAACTTACGTTTTAGCAACCCAAGCTAAGTAAGGTTTATATCAACTTTATATTGCTTGACAAACGAACAAGAATATACAAGTATTATAATCGTAACTCTACATTATAATTATTTAGATTAAGAGAAGAATACATAAGATTTTCTTTTTTAACCTATAAAAGATTATAGTTAATGAAAAGCCGGGTATACTAATTAATTTTAAATTTTCTTCACTTTGCCAGTGCTTTGAAAAACATATGACGTCATATAAATTTTGATCCGCAAGAAAAGCATTGATCATATCGACTTTATTTAAAATGGAAGTAGAAGAGAGAACACAAATGATAAGCCGCGACCAGGTACATTAAGTACTGTATCACCAGACAGAAAGATGACAAGATCTACTATGTGTAAAAGACTTCGCCTTTTGTCAGAGAATCAAAAAATTTGCAAATGAGATTATTTTACAACAGCTCACGGAATACAGGCAAAACGGTAATACATTTTTTTCATCAATAATTTTCGGTGACAGATCTTCCTTATATTATTTTAAACCATTTGCTAAGCTGTCATCAATGCAATGGAAATACGCAAATTTTCCACCACCAAAGAAGCTCAAAGTTCAACTTTCTGCAGGCAAGATCATGGTGATATTTTTTTAGGTTATGAAGGACCATTGCTCAAAGAGTTTACATAGCCTAGAGTGCTTATCATCGAAAACCATTACAATGAAACTTTAAACCAGTTTCATCAATCAATAAGATGAAAACGCCCAGGAAACTCTCAGGTGTTATTCGTTATCATGTGTCCAAAGTAATGAGAAAGAGAATCTACAAAATGGAGAATATTAAGGCATCCACCCTATATTCCTCATGTATGGCCTTGCCATTTTTACATCTTTGGGCCACTGAAAATGGCGTTAAAAGTTATCGTCTTCACTCGGACGAAGAAGTACAAAATGCCGTAATAGAATTCCTTGAGCAACAGCCACAGAAATTCTTTAAGCAGTGTATATATTGGTTGAAAAAACAATGGGATGTGTGCCTTAATTATAAAGGTAATTATTTTTAGATATATTTGCCAATAAATTTTTTCTGGACCAAAGATTATTTTTAATTTAACAAGCCTCGTAATTTGAGAATATAAAACAATTTTCAGGGTTACATTAAAAAAATTTATATATCCTGTTTTTATATTAATTATAAACTTACTTTCTCGGCAGTGCCGGTTTAAACGCAGTATGTAAGGGTGGAGACAGCTTTTTCTTCAGTTCACTTATTGAACCCATTTTATGACATCCATGAATCAGGCCTTGCCAAGTCCCATAGCCGCAAACGGATCCTTTATTTTTACCTGTAGTCCATATTTCCACGTAACCCACCACTGAATTTAATACACCATCAAATTTTTGCTGTAGATACGTTGAACCCAAGTCCGTGGTTAGACAGTCGACACCACAGGCACTAACAATATAAATTCCTAAAAAAAATTGTATGTTCTTATCTTTAATCAAGAGACTTAGCTTAACTTAAAAATAATGCAATAATAATAGTTGAAACAAAACATTAAAATGGTTTAAAATTTTTATTCAATAACTGAAGGGGTCTTCTCTATTTCTACATGAGTCACATTTGCAGATGATACTGCTATCCTAGCAGTAGGTGATACCAGCTTAGAAGCAACAGAAAAGTTATAATTGTAATAAATAAAATCCATAATTGGATATTATTTATTGCAACTATAACTTCATTCTGTCTCCGGCTTCTATACAACATGTAGCTTCTCCTTATAAATTTTAAAGTGTTTGTTTGTCTTAGTGTATTGTATTTTGTATTGTTATGTCCAAATATTACATTTATGACATTCTACTATGTCGGATAGGCCACAACTGACGAAATGCCCCTGAAGATGATCTATTGATCGAAAGTACTTGGGCAAGATTAAATTAATCACCGTGTTCGATAGTTGCCTTGTATACCCTCAAAGTTTAATTATTCGAACATTCAACCTTATATTGATTTAAGGAACAACGTTGATACTCTTTGGTATATCAGAAATGTCGAAATCCACGAGGACCTTGAGATGGAATCTGTAGATAAAGTTATGAAGAAGATAGCAGTAAGTCACGATCAATGAATCCATAGTTATGTAAACATCGGGGTCATCCAGCTCTTCGATAATACTGGCTTGGAAAGAAAACTCAAATGAAGAAAACCATTTGAGCTAGTATAAACTGTAGTGTAAACCAGAGCATCGTGCCATGTTGTGGGTTAGGTACAGTAGTTATTTGTTAGATAAAATAAGGGGACAATGTTGGAGTGTTCTTGGTGGAGAGTTTTATAAAGATCTGGAAAAAGCAATAAGACTAACAAAGAAAGAGGACATAAACATAATAATGGGCGACTTTAACGCTAAAGCGGGTAAAGGAAGATATGAAGACATAATTGGAGAGTACGGCCTTGGAGTTAGAAATGAAAGAGGCGACCCGCTGTGTGAATTCTGCCAGGAGAACGGTTTTGTCGTCATGAACACATGGTTTCAGCTCCCACCTCGAAAGTTATATACTTGGAGATCACCAGGAGACCGTCCAAATCGAATAATTAGAAACCAAATTGACTACGTTTTAATAAACAGAAGATTTCGTAACGCTATCAAAAGAATCGCAGCATATCCAGGTGCTGATATTGCATCCGATCATAATCCGCTAATAGCAGATGTGAGGTTAAAACTAGCAAAAATTAAGAGAACAAATACCAATACCAGCACACCTATAAATACAAGAGAACTGATGAGAGACGAAAATCTGAAGAAGAGTTATGCGAATCAAATTAATGAAAGAATGCGAGTAATAGAACAAAATGATCATATCGAAGAGATGGTTAATGATATTAAAGGAACGATTCTGGCAGTAAACAGGGAAGTTAAAACACAGATCAGAAAGAGAAAGCATAACGAATGGATGACGGACGAAATTATGGATCTAATGGAAAAGCGAAGGCAACATAAACAACAACGTAATCAAGACAAATACAAACAGATACACTAAGAAATCCGTCAGAAAATTAAGAAAGCAAAAGAACGTTGGATGGTGGAAAGGTGCAACGAAATAGAACAATTGCAGGATAAGGAGATAGTTTTGGACTACATAAGAAGATCAAAGAAATATCGAATATACACAAAAGCCACCACAGAACAAGAATACGCAACGACAGAAACGAATACATAGAGTCAGAAGAGGAGATAGCAATGGCGTGGAAAGAATACGCAGAAAGCCATTTTAGTGACGAAAGACCAACACAACCAACGCGCAAACTTCCTGCCGAAAACTTATCAGGGCCATCACTAATTCGAAGTGAAATAGAATATGCAGTTAGAACCACAAAGATGCATAAAGCAACAGGTCCAGATGAAATTAATATAGAAGCAATAAAACTACTAGACGAGGAGAATATCGAAATCTTGGTAAGGCTGTTCAATAGAATTTATGATAATGGTTACATTCCGCGAGAATGGCTGCAGTCATCCTTTGTGATGATCCCAAAAACAGCTAATGCCACAAAATGCAATGAACACCGCTTAATCAGTTTAATGAGTCACTTGTTGAAACTCTTCCTTAGGATATTACACTCAAGAATGTACAAGATACTAGAAGAACTTAGCGGGTCAACACAATTCGGTTTTAAGGGAGGACTAGGAACAAGAGAGGCAATTTTATGTTTGAACACCTTAATACAAAACTGCTTAGATCAACGAAAAGATGTCTACCTCACCTTCATCGACTACGAGAAGGCATTTGACAATGTTAAACATGATATCATGATGGAACTACTACATAGGGTCAACATTGACCAGAAGGAGATCAGAATTATTCAGAATCTATACTGGAACCAAATGGCAAAGGTGAGGATTGATCAAGACCAATATACGGATGAATTTGAAATCCGGAAAGGTGTCCGCCAAGGCTGCATACTCTCTCCGATGCTTTTTAATTTATATGTTGAAAATATATTTGCGGAAGCATTAGAAGATACGGAATTAGGCATTAAGGTGAACGGCATACCAATTAGCAACCTACGCTATGCGGACGACACAGTGATTATAACTGATAATTTGGAAGATCAGCAGTTAATACTTGATAGGGTGAATATATATATATATATATATATATATATATATATATTATATATATATATATATATATATATATATATATATATATATATATAGTACAGGTTGTTTACAATTGTCGTTGTTTTCCTGTCCCTAGTTTCCATCGTTTCCTATCTCGGGTGTCGGCTTCATTTAGCTGTCTTCCTTCCATGGCTTTATTCACGTCATCTCGGCAGCTTCTTCTTGGACGCCCTCTTTTCCTTCTTTCGGTTGGGATCCATTTTAATATTTTCTTTGGCCACCTCTCGTCTGCCATTCTGTTTACATGACCGAACCAAGTTAGTTGTTTTTTCTGGACTTCATCTATAATGTTTTTTTCTTGCTCCATTCTACGTTTTATTTCTTCACTGCGGATTCTGTCCATCCTTGTCAATCTACAGCTTCTTCTCATAAAATCCATCTCGCTAGCTTGTAACTTTTCCTGTTTCTTTTACTAGTGCCTCATATCTCTGCTCCGTATGTTACCACCGGCTCAACCATCGTCTTATATATTCGTTTTTTTGTCGTTCTTGTGATTTTTTTATCCCAGAGAATGGAGTTTAGGCACTTGGTAATGTTTCTGCCTTTGTTTATTCTTGTATTTATTTCTTCATAGGTAGAATAGATAGGGTGAATAGCATAGGTAAAAAATATGGCCTCAAAATCAACATTTTGAAAACGAAATATATGGTCATTAGCAGAAACCCTCCAGAAAACCCGATAATATGCATAGGTGACAATCGTATAAATCGCGTGAAAACTTTTAAATACCTTGGCACCACAATCAATGACCAATCGGATCCACAACACGAGATAAAAACCCGAATACAAATGGCAAGACAAGCTTTTGTGAAATTCAGACCGCTCCTATGTAATCAACACCTAAACTTCGAAATACGCTACAGAATGGTCAAGTGCTACATATGGTCCATCTTGCTTTATGGCATGGGAAACGTGGACTTTGAAAAAAAAATCTATCAACAAACTTGAAGCATTTGAAATGTGGTCATTGAGAAGAATGATGCGCATACCTTGGGTGGATAGAGTTCGAAACGATGACGTCCTTAATAGAGCCGGCGTGGAAAAAGAACTCTTTGAATTAATTAAAAAACGCAAGATTGGTTACCTTGGGCACATATTGAGAGGAGCAAAATATGAAATACCACAGTTAATCCTACAAGGGAAGATCGAAGGTAGGAGAGGAGCTGGCCGCAAACAATTATCCTGGTTAAAGAATATTAAAGAATGGACAGGAATACACAATACAGGTGAGCTGTGTCACGCCGCCAAGAACAGAATTCTAGTAATAAGATAGTCGCCTACGCACGTTGGTGTATGGTGTATGTTAAGAAGAATAAGAAGTTGGAGTGTGAGCGTTGGGCGGATGGAAGAGAAAAGTTTGAAAGAGAGTATAATTGCAGAATGTGTGATTCCTTAAGAAAAATGGTGGAGGAAATGATGGGGAATGAGAGATGGTGGACATAGATCCACAAATTTATCAGAGAGCTGCTATCAGGGAAGTTTAAAACGAGAGAGTAGAACGCATGCTGAAAAAAGAGCGAATGAGAGAAAGACAACACGAGAGAGATGGCAGCCTCGCTAAAGCCGGGGATTGAAAGTCTTTGGTGGTTCATGTGAGTGTGGTTTTCTCGATAAATGTGTGGAGAAAGAATGGAAATCGGGTGATAGCAGGGCATCCGGAGAGATGTTTTCCCTTAACCAGCCCTTTCATCCTGATGTTTGGTGTGACAGAGGAGAGGTTTTTATTGAACGCCGATCGTCTGGGAGGGGTGACAGGACAAACTACCAAAAGTTTTAACGCCCTTGAGCATCTCGTCCTTTCAGAACTTCGTTAGAAACCCAACACTACCTGGATAAGTCACAGGTGTCTGTATGCAGATTTTCCTTTTTGTCTTGAAAGATGTAAAAATAGGTAAAATAAGAGGACACCGTAGGGTTAAGCTATTAGAATGTATGTATAATTTAGTAATTTAAGTAAAGGAATAATTGATAATTGGCCAACTGTGACCAGATTTCACTGGTTTAAATACAGCTTAGGTGTTTAATAAAAAATAGATGGAGCATATCCGGGGCGAGCGACTTTAAGTACCATCCGAAGCTCCGTATAAAAATTATAATCTCGTATTGGTGATGAGGATTCGTCGCAAATTCTGGTTTGATATGCCAGTATCTAAGCCACTAAACTACGGCCGCCACCAATTAAAACGGTGTGAAAGCTAGATCTTTGTTATGTTTTAATATACTACTAGCCTTCTGTAAGTATTGAATATTTAAACTTGATAAATACGAGTACGAAGAAGTACTCAAAATACTAAAAAGTGCTAAAAATACCTTTTTCTTTAGCAGCAGCATCGTATTTTTCTGGAAGTGAATCTATAAAACTAGGTTCACCACTTACATCTAAATGATGAGTTCCAGCTTTAATGCAAGCTTGTACTACCTGAAATCCCATCAATCTGTATGGTCCACAGCAATTTAGGATGACTTTTGCTTTTTGTGCCATGTTATTTAAAGATACCTGATCTTTTATATCGGCCAGTATGATTGGGGTTTTGGATAAATCTTCACCTAAAAAGTATAAAAAATTACAGTTATAACTACAATCGCATATACTAAATCGATTTTCTATACTTTGTACACATTGTGGCTACTAGATACATCATGCTTACGTAAAAATATACATAATTAATAATTTATCAAACATTATTTAAAAAAAGATACTTTACCTATCTCTATACCTATATTCTTTAATACTGCTTTAAGTTTTGCCTCTGAGCGTCCAGAAATACCCCAGGTTAAATTTTGCTCGTTCGCAAATTTGTGAAGATATCGAATAGCATGTAGACCTGTGGTCCCTGTTGCTCCAAATAGGAGAAGATCTAGACGTTCATCAACCATACCTTGAATAAAAACTGTTATCCTTTGTTAGTTTAAAATATCCACTTCTACTGTTTTAGATGGGAGGTATAATGAGCAAACATATACAATATTGGTAACGAAATTAATCGTGCAAAATAATATCAAAAGTATGATCTTCACGGTTCGTAACGAGGATATTTTCTAAATAAAACACTGAAAATGACCGACTGTACTATTATACATATTTTATCAAATTTTCACAAAATTACTCTATACCCACTACTTGTATATAGTATACTTGTATATAGTATACTTGTATATATGTAAATAAAAATGTAAATTAAATTAATAAAAAAAAGAGTGTGGCACTGAAGCATGTTCATAATTTCTTTAAATTATTCCCTTTAGAGAATTATTTTTACGCCGTCTATGCCTACATATTCTTCTTTAAAAAAGCATTACAACTAACCCGATAACACCGACCAATTGGTTACGCCATTTTTTTAACAAAAAAATAGCTTCTACAAATGTTTCCCGTTCTCCTTATTAAGCTTTGCTAAATAGAAATCTTTCTTAGTAACAAAGAAAAAAGGCCCTATTGTGAAATCTCCGCTCTACCTTCTCAGAAAAATAGAAGAGTGGTTTTTCGGAGAAAGATAATTTCTATCGGTAGAGAAAGGGTAAGCTACGAAAATGAACCCCAGTAGCCCGGCTATTTAATATCAATTTCGCGTGGCACCCTTCAGCCAATATCCCCTCTCTGTTTCACCTATCGCTTGTCTAAGCCCGTCGAAGTTCAGAATCCGAAGTCTTTTTCCACTTAGTTCCTGTGGCAAGCGGTTTATCTTCATCAAACGGCGGTAAGTGGATTTTCAAATCACCCTTATCTATATAAAATATCTTTACACAGTGTGTCCTATTTTAACTATTTTCTCTTTTGTCAAACAGACGTCTTCCAATTAGAAGGAACGAAGTCACTTTTGTTTGCTGTTCATTCTTCCACCGCTTCATTCTTTCACCGCTACGTTCATTCACCTCTACGATTCATTCATCTCTACCTTCAGTCATATCTACGTTTTTTTTATACTTTCATTTATCTCGACTACTCATTACTACCTGTACTGTTCCAGTCTGGCTGTCTCTTTTCATCGGCCTAAATCAATTTGAGGGATTACGTTTAGAAGACCGTAAGTCATCGTTGCGCCTGTCGTCCCGACTACCTGTTACAAGGACTGAAGTCAAGTGCCTCTATTGAGGGCGATTATCTGCATCCACCTGTATTATACTGGTTCTGTGAGTATAATTTTTATTGACTAAAGCTCAACTGTGATACCTAAATCATTACTCCAGTTAAGTGTACCTTACCTATTTATGGATGTTTACTTTAACTCTAACAGAACGAACTATTATGAGTATAACTACGGGATAATATAAACGTATAATTAATGTACAATTTGTTTTAAATGTAGGTTATATTTAGGATAAATTTTATTCATAGATTTGAAGTGATCACGATCAAAAACTTAGTAACTTCATGTTTACATATTCTCAAGGCGTAAAATTCACTTGTTTGACGAATATTAACGTAGATACAATTATAATGTTCCTTGCCTTTTTCTAGTTCTTGAGGATACTAAATTATTCATAATTATTTTTTAAAAAGATATTTTTTGTTTGTATTTAATAATAAATTGTGCAATAACTGATATCATGCCATTTAACTGTTCAGTAAACATTGTGATAGTACATTTACATTAACAACTATACCTCAATATAATTTTGTTGACGAACTATTTGCTTTTTATTTTTTTATATAATATGAATTTATATTTTTGTGTTTCTCTTCCAGGCATTTTTTATTGATTTATACTATTATTTGTTTGATCGTATATTTATTGTATATGTGTCGAAATATTAACTGTGTACCGCATAATCACGATACCTTTTCTCTCACGGTTTACTTCATTCTCGCGCATTTTAACTGTATCTTACCTTTCTCGTTATCTTCTTCAATATGCCTTAAGGTTTCCCTGTTCCTCTAAAAATAGGGTGGTGCCCAAATAACTTCTCTTCTCTTCTAATTTCTTGTCTCTGTGTTGTCTGCACTTCTTTACCTGATCCATGATATTTGAGCTGTAATAAGAACCTCGACCAAGATACCTCTACCAGACTGAAGCCCGAGCCTAGTACCGTTCTTTGTGTAACTCCCAACTATCATCGAAGAGGGTACAGCACTTGGAGAGCGAAAAACACAAAAGAATACTTCTTATAGTGTATTATTACTATATCTAGGTTAATAAAATTTTGTTTGCTTATTGCTAAATTCTTAATATTTTTTATAATAGCACTACACAAAGTTCTTTAAAATTTTAAAAATCCAATTTTTTATTTAACATATATACATACATATATATATATATATATATATATGTATATATATATATATATATATATATATATATATATATATATATATATATTCATTACCATTATATTCTGGAAATAATCATGAATAAAGGTAGTGTATATTATTTTTTTTTATTGAAAAATTTTAATTTAAATTTTAATTTAATTTTATTTAATTTTATGTAATTTTATTTAATTTTATCTAATTTTATTTATTTTTATTTAATCTTATTTTATTTTATTTTATTTTATTTTATTTAGTTTCATTTAATTTCATTATAGAAGAAGAACTAACTAACTCTATTGAAGCTGGCAGTGGGATAAGACAGGGAGATTCTCTATTGTTCAACCTGAACAATAGAGAATATATGAAGAATAGAATAAAATAAGAACAACGTGAATGAAATAATAAAAAAAGTAAGAACCAAAAAAGGATACCAAATGAGAGAAAAACAGTTTAAAATAATTAGCTATGCAGACGACGCCATAGTACTCTCTCAAAGTGAAGATGATTTACAACATATGGTGCAGCAGTTTAATATAACCGCCAGAAAATTTAACATGTTAATTTCCCCAAACAAGACAAAATGTATGGTTATAACACCAAATTTACTAAGATGTAAATTGGAGCTGGAAGGTCAGATAATAGAACAATTGATGGAGTTTAAACATCTAGGCATCACATTATCTAGCTTCGGAAAGCTCGAAAAGTGGAAGATCAACTGAATAGAGCAAACAGAGACGCAGGTTGCCTGAAGGAAACAATATGGAGAAATAAAAATATCGGGAAAGAAATAAAAGGCAGAACTTACAAAACACTGATCAGACTATTATGACAGTAATAACATACCCGGTAGAAGCATGACCTAACACAGAAAGGACAAAAAGTATATTAGAAACAGCAGAGATGAAAACACTTGAACAGCAGAGATGAAGAGGATTAGTACGAAGATCACGTAAACGATGGAACGACAACTTACTTGAGGCACATTGAAATACAGACAAAGTCATGTCTACAATACATTTAGAAGAAAAGTCGAATGTAATATTTATAACTAAAAGGTAGTTATAGATCAATTCCCATAAATGACATTAACACATATTTATAACTAAAAGGTAGTTATACTCGTAGATCAAATCCCAATGAATGACATGGACAGATTCCTGTGCTTACTATACAAGAAATAATACGCAATAGGACAACGAGTTTCACGATAACTTGGCAAGCGACGTGGCCCATGCTCGTCAAACGAATTTAATAGAAAAAAAAAAACCACTAAACAGACTAATGATATTTATTCCGAATAGCTTCCCAGAGAACATCATGTAGCTAGGTTGTATAAGATAGGGCAAAGTGCTTATGTTTAGGATCAGGAATAATATCATCCCCTGGATCCTTTGCTTCTTCGATAGCTCGTGGACTATATATTTATTTCTTCTGTAAGGTTAATTGAAATTTACAGTAGGCTCATTCGTCTAATTTGCTTACCTTCAAGGGTTTCTAATGCCTGGTTGCACCAACATATCTTAAGCTTAAGACGTGCCTTAGGTAGACCTCAGCTCAGACTGATCGACCGACCACGACCAATCGTCCGATGGCGATCAACCAAATTTTGTATTTTTATTTTTAAGAATATAAAGAAGATTTTAGAATCGAAAAGTATGGTGCAACGTAAGTGAGAGTTAAGGCAGCCCTAGCTATAAGCAGAGATGGGCTAAGCTGGAGCTTAAGATCTATTGGTGCAACCAGGCATAAGTATTGTTTATTTAATACAACTCTCCACATCCCAAAGACTTTATATTGACACTTCCCGAACTACAATACATTCAAAGTTAGTTACTAGTACCACAGAATCATAAACAATCAGAATGCCCACTCTCCATGGAAAATTCAGTACGCGCATCTCCTTCGCGCAGATGTTACGCCATGTTTTAGAGGGAACCAGGGTTGTTTATGTGGTGTGCATAGAAAAATTAACCCGATTTAATTGACTCACGGCAGTCATAGACATACTATACAATTATATTAACATTATTAAATATAATAACATAAATATAATATAATTAAACATAAATATAAACAATTACATAGCCTCACAAATCATATGTCTGTGTTATGTGTTACCTGCTAAAACATGGCGCGCGTGCTGAAAAACTTCAAAGGCGGCATCTGAGAGTGGGCATTCTGATTGTTTATTATTCTGTGCTAGTACATGATTTATTTACTTTCTTTCTCTCTCTCTCTCTCTATCTATCTCTCTATCTATCTCAACATTTAGCTGCTAAATTTCTTTTCGTTGAGGTCATCCTCCACGCGTTAACATGTATTGCAACGCTAATATCTTAACACCCATGTGTCTTATAGTAGGCCAAATGTGGACAAACATTACATTATTACAAACAAATATACCACTAAACACACAAGGTCCTTTACAAATATCTGGTTAATATTTTGATATTAAACATAGGTCCTAGTAAACGTCGCTATAAGACGGTAGGACACTAGATTAATTAGGGCTCGATAACTCGAAAATGTTTTATACAATAATTGTAATAAAAACAATTATCTGTGCAACAAAAGATTGCTGTAACAACTATAACTAGAGACTGGATTATATGCAAAATGTATGTGCATATATATGCAGCGTATATGTGGGTTTCTTTATAAAT